ACCTATAATGGCGATGGCCTCCAACCTAGTAGCCATGGCCTCCAACCATGACAAATCGTACCCCTTGGATTCTCCTGGAACCAACACGTCAGTGCCTGAGCATGATGGTGTCCATACCACCAGTGGGTCTCCTTAGCGGCATGTCTCATGAAGCTTATTCCCGCTATGGCCGCTATGATGATACGGGTTGCACAACAATGTACCTGCTGAAGTCTTCACAGTTTAACAACATCTCCATCCCTCCAACTAGAAAAGCCTCCATTTGGCACCCTCCATCGACCGGTCGTGGTCGTCTGGGCTTCCCAACGGCACCCAGGCCGTGCGGCAGATGCGCATCTCGGCAGCCGGAAGGACCTCAGGACGGTCGACCGCCATGGCGGCAACTGCCACGAACGGGCCCTGAGGGCACCACATTGGCAGGATCATCATCAACCAGGATCGCCTGAAGACTTGAAAACGGGCAAAGAAGAGCGTGCATTGGTGGTGAACACTAAGAGCAATCTGTTGTTGCATGTTTCTTTTTTGTGATCATCTTGCTGTTCTAATATGTTCTAATTCTAATTATATTTATACATGTCAAATTACAAATGTACAAGAGGTTTTGTACATCACAACCCACACGTAGATCCGGTCCTGCGAAGCAGAGAGGCCTCGCCGGCGGCGGAGCTCCTGGACGATCCGGTCCTTCCGCGCCTGCTTCGCAGCCGAGAGCGGGTGATCTCGGCCAATCACCTGGGACCAGTCGACTCGTTGCGCCGAAAGGACCGGCGGATCGGTTCAAACGAAGTGAAACGAAGTGAAACGTGAATCCAAGGCCTCGGAGAAGTATCTGAGCAAATCCGCTTTCTCCAAGGCAGCTTCAACCACAGCACCAAAGCCATTGGTGATGATGACCACCTGACGTTCTTCCATGCAAAGACCAACCAAACCATGGACCACTCAGAACAGTCAATCAATATCTCTTAGTCAAGTTCTTTTGCCAGCATCTTTCCACAGAAAGCAAAGACTGTCAAACAGGCACGGACAAAGTATGACAAAGCATCTTTCCACCCCTGCAGATTTTTACAGATCCCTTCAGACCTGTCGCTCAAGTGTAACCAAGGTCTCGAAAAAGGTCTTCAGGTCATGCAGCCGTGAGGGACCTCCAAAGATTCGATGCGGCAAATCTGGCTCCTCGGGCAGGGGCCAAAAATCTCCTGGTCTGATTGCAGTGAGGACAACATGACCTGCTTTCACTGCCATCAGAAATGCTTTCACTGCACTTTCCTGACCTCATAGCATTGCTGCTGCAGAACGGTCTCTTGTGAAGAGCAATCCCAGCCGCCACGGCGGTACAAATACTCGAACAAATGCAGTGCAGCGATAGTGCAATCGAAATCAAAGGCTAAAAGGACCAGACCTGACGCTCCAGAACCACCTGGTTTGGTCCATGTTGTTTCACGTGTGGTTTTGTTGTAGTAGAACGTCTTGCCACTGGATGGATCCTTATGCTCCTCCCAATCCGGTGGTAAACCGCCCGGTGCTGGTGGAGCTGGGGGCAATGCTGGCTTTGGCTTGTCCCAAGATGTCTCTTTGGTAACCTTGTTGTAGTAGAATGGCTTCCCAGTGGAGGGATCTTTGTGCTCTTCCCAGTTTGGTGGCAAGCCTCCCCCAGGTGCTGCCGGAGCTGCCGGTGGAGCTAGGCTCTTTGGCTTGTCCCATGTCGTTTCTTTTGTGACTTTGTTGTAGTAGTAGGCTTTCCCAGTAACTGGATCCTTGTGCTCTGTCCAGTCGGGAGGGAGTCCTCCAGGGATTGGCGGTGCTCCAGGGGCCAAGGGCGCTCTTGGTGCTGCAGGTGCCAAGGGCATTGAGGCTGGTTTGTTCCATGTTGTATCTTTTGTAAGCTTGTTGTAGTAGTATGTCTTGCCTGTGACTGGATCTTTGTGCTCTGTCCATTCAGGAGGCAGACCACCGGGTGCTGGTGGTGCTCCAGGCACCCCTGGTGCTTTGGGGGCTGCTGGTGCTGGTGGCATGGCGGCTGGCTTGTTCCATGTTGTTTCACGTGTGGTTTTGTTGTAGTAGAACGTCTTGCCACTGGATGGATCCTTATGCTCCTCCCAATCCGGTGGTAAACCGCCCGGTGCTGGTGGAGCTGGGGGCAATGCTGGCTTTGGCTTGTCCCAAGATGTCTCTTTGGTAACCTTGTTGTAGTAGAATGGCTTCCCAGTGGAGGGATCTTTGTGCTCTTCCCAGTTTGGTGGCAAGCCTCCCCCAGGTGCTGCCGGAGCTGCCGGTGGAGCTAGGCTCTTTGGCTTGTCCCATGTCGTTTCTTTTGTGACTTTGT